CTTCAGGAGTTTCAAATATCTATCAAGTATTTTAACAGTTTCAAGGCTTTTTAAAGGATTTCAAGGATTTTTTTTAGCAGATTTCCACATTAGATCTGTTCCGCAGTCAATCGCAATGGCTTCAGCCATTGCAAGTTTCTAGTTATTATTATTGATTGACTGCGGAACCTTCCGCAGTCAACCATTGGTTTTGTATTTCTTTATTCCGTCATTTTTTTTGACACGTTTCACAGCTTTCACATTTTCAACAATTTCCACAAGTTATACATCAAAACGTTCCACATGTTTGGGAGATTATTGCTATTACTTTTGGGACTTCAGCGATTTCCGGTTTTTCCGCAATCGGACAAAAATCTGCATTGAGAATTCTGCAATGCATTTTAATAGGCCCATGCATTTTAATAGGACTTCAGCTCTTTCAGACATTTCTACAGTTTCAATGATTCAACAGTTTCAAGGATTCAACAGTTTCAAGGATTTCAGCAGTTTCAAGATTTCAAGAGTTTCAAGGACTTCAACAGTTTCAAGGACTTCAGCAGTTTCAAGGACTTCAGCAGTTTCAAGGACTTCAGCAGTTTCAAGGACTTCAGTGTAATCATGCAACCTAATAGGGATTTTTCCATGTAAACCAGTATAATGCAACTTAATAGGGATTTTTCCATGTAAACCAGTATAATGCAACTTAATAGGGTTTTTTCATGTAAACCAGTATAATGCAACTTAATAGGGTTTTTTTTCATGTAAACCAGTATAATGCAACTTAATAGGGTTTTTTACATGTAAACCAGTATAATGCAACTTAATAGGGTTTTTTCCATGTAAACCAGTATAATGCAACTTAATAGGGATTTTTCCATGTAAACCAGTATAATGCAACTTAATAGGGGTTTTTACATGTAAACCAGTATAATGCAACTTAATGGGGATTTTTCCATGTAAACCAGTATAATGCAACTTAATAGGGGTTTTTACATGTAAACCAGTATAATGCAACTTAATAGGGTTTTTTCCATGTAAACCAGTATAATGCAACTTAATAGGGATTTTTCCATGTAAACCAGTATAATGCAACTTAATAGGGTTTTTTTCATGTAAACCAGTATAATGCCACTTAATAGGGTTTTTTTCATGTAAACCAGTATAATGCAACTTAATGGGGATTTTTCCATGTAAACCAGTATAATGCAACTTAATAGGGGTTTTTACATGTAAACCAGTATAATGCAACTTAATAGGGGTTTTTTACATGTAAACCAGTATAATGGAACTTAATAGGGGTTTTTACATGTAAACCAGTATAATGCAACTTAATAGGGATTTTTACATGTAAACCAGTATAATGCAACTTAATAGGGTTTTTTACATGTAAACCAGTATAATGCAACTTAATGGGGATTTTTCCATGTAAACCAGTATAATGCAACTTAATAGGGGTTTTTACATGTAAACCAGTATAAAGGATAACAGTTTAAAGGATATCAGGAGCTTCAAATACTTCAGGAGTTTCAAAGATGTTTAAAGTATTTTAACAGTTTTTTTCAGCAAGGATTTTTCAGCTAAATTCCACATTAGATCTGTTTCGCAGTCAATCGCAATGGCTTCAGCCATTGCAACGGTTTCTAGTTGATTGACTGCGGAACCTTCTGCAGTCAACCATTGGTTTTGTATTTCTTTATTCCGTCATTTTTTTTGACACGTTTCACAGCTTTCACATTTTCAACAATTTCCACAAGTTATACATCAAAACGTTCCACATGTTTGGGAGATTATTGCTATTACTTTTGGGACTTCAGCGATTTCCGGTTTTTCCGCAATCGGACAAAAATCTGCATTGAGAATTCTGCAATGCATTTTAATAGGCCCATGCATTTTAATAGGACTTCAGCTCTTTCAGACATTTCTACAGTTTCAATGATTCAACAGTTTCAAGGATTCAACAGTTTCAAGGATTTCAGCAGTTTCAAGATTTCAAGAGTTTCAAGGACTTCAACAGTTTCAAGGACTTCAGCAGTTTCAAGGACTTCAGCAGTTTCAAGGACTTCAGCAGTTTCAAGGACTTCAGTGTAATCATGCAACCTAATAGGGATTTTTCCATGTAAACCAGTATAATGCAACTTAATAGGGATTTTTCCATGTAAACCAGTATAATGCAACTTAATAGGGTTTTTTCATGTAAACCAGTATAATGCAACTTAATAGGGTTTTTTTTTCATGTAAACCAGTATAATGCAACTTAATGGGGATTTTTCCATGTAAACCAGTATAATGCAACTTAATAGGGGTTTTTACATGTAAACCAGTATAATGCAACTTAATAGGGTTTTTTCCATGTAAACCAGTATAATGCAACTTAATAGGGTTTTTTCCATGTAAACCAGTACAATGCAACTTAATAGGGATTTTTCCATGTAAACCAGTATAATGCAACTTAATGGGGATTTTTCCATGTAAACCAGTATAATGCAACTTAATGGGGATTTTTCCATGTAAACCAGTATTATGCAACTTAATAGGGATTTTTCCATGTAAACCAGTATAATGCAACTTAATAGGGATTTTTCCATGTAAACCAGTATAATGCAACTTAATGGGGATTTTTCCATGTAAACCAGTATTATGCAACTTAATAGGGATTTTTCCATGTAAACCAGTATAATGCAACTTAATAGGGTTTTTTTCATGTAAACCAGTATAATGCAACTTAATAGGGTTTTTACATGTAAACCAGTATAATGGAACTTAATAGGGGTTTTTACATGTAAACCAGTATAATGGAACTTAATAGGGGTTTTTACATGTAAACCAGTATAATGCAACTTAATAAGGATTTTTACATGTAAACCACTATAATGTAACCTAATAGGGGTTTTTACATGTAAACCAGTATAAAGCAACTTAATAGGGATTTGTACATGTAAACCAGTATAATGCAACCTAATAGGGATTTTTCCATGTAAACCAGTATAATGCAACTTAATAGGGATTTTTCCATGTAAACCAGTATAATGCAACTTAATAGGGATTTTTCCATGTAAACCAGTATAATGCAACTTAATAGGGATTTTTCCATGTAAACCAGTATAATGCAACTTAATAGGGATTTTTCCATGTAAACCAGTATAATGCAACTTAATAGGGATTTTTCCATGTAAACCAGTATAATGCAACTTAATAGGGTTTTTACATGTAAACCAGTATAATGCAACTTAATAGGGTTTTTTACATGTAAACCAGTATAATGCAACTTAATAGGGATTTTTTCCATGTAAACCAGTATAATGCAACTTAATAGGGATTTTTCCATGTAAACCAGTATAATGCAACCTAATAGGGTTTTTTACATGTAAACCAGTATAATGCAACTTAATATGGGATTTGTACATGTAAACCAGTATAATGCAACCTAATAGGATTTTTCCATGTAAACCAGTATAATGCAACTTAATAGGGATTTTTCCATGTAAACCAGTATAATGCAACTTAATAGGGTTTTTTTCCATGTAAACCAGTATAATGCAACTTAATAGGGTTTTTTTTCCATGTAAACCAGTATAATGCAACTTAATAGGGATTTTTCCATGTAAACCAGTATAATGCAAACTAATAGGTTGCATTATACCACCAGACCAAGACCCAAACGAAGACTCAGACCACCACCAGATAATGACCACAGACCAGGTTTCCTTAGTTACAGGAACCAAATTGTTTCAGCGGTGAGGGATTTTTCAGTTTCAAGGACACTTTCAATACATTCAGTAGTTTCAAGGATTTCAACTGTTTAAGAATTTAACCAGTTTCAAGGATATCAGGAGGTTCAAGGATTTCAGGAGTTTCCACACTTTCAACAGTTTCCAGGTTTAAAAAAAGTTTCAAGGATTTCAGGAGTTTCAATGTTTCAACAGTTTCAAGGATTTCAGGAGTTTAAAGGTTTCAACAATTTCAAGGACTTCAGGAGTTTCAAATATCTATCAAGTATTTTAACAGTTTCAAGGCCTTTTAAAGGATTTCAAGGATTTTTTTTAGCAGATTTCCACATTAGATCTGTTCCGCAGTCAATCGCAATGGCTTCAGCCATTGCAAGTTTCTAGTTTATCATTAGCATTATTATTATTTATCATTAGCATTATTATTATTATTTATCATTATCATTATTATTATTTATCATTAGCATTATTATTATTCATCATTAGCATTATTATTATTATTTATTATTAGCATTATCACTATTTATTATCAGCATTATTATTATTAGCATTAGCATTAGTATTATTATTATTTATCATTAGCATTATTATTATTTATCATTATCATTATTATTATTTATTATTAGCATTAGTATTATTATTATTTATCATTAGCATTATTATTTATTATTAGCATTATTATTATTCATCATTAGCATTATTATTATTATTTATTATTAGCATTATTACTATTTATTATCAGCATTATTATTATTTATCATTAGCATTATTTTTTTATTAGCATTATCATTATTATTTAGCATTTTTATCATTATTTATTATTAGCATTATTATTTATCATTAGCATTATTATTATTCATCATTAGCATTATTATTATTATTTATTATTAGCATTATTATTATTTATTATTAGCATTATTATTATTCATCATTAGCATTATTATTATTATTTATTATTAGCATTATCACTATTTATTATCAGCATTATTATTTATTATCAGCATTATTATTATTTATTATTAGCATTATTATTATTTATTATTAGCATTATTATCATTTTTATTAGCATTATCTCTGGTCTCTCTCTGGTCTCTCTCTGGTCTCTCTCTGGTCTCTCTCTGGTCTCTCTCTGGTCTCTCTTTGAGGTCTCTCTCTGGTCTCTCTCTGGTCTCTCTCTGGTCTCTCTCTGGTCTCTCTCTGGTCTCTCTCTGGTCTCTCTCTGGTCTCTCTCTGGTCTCTCTCTGGTCCCTCTCTGTGGTCAGGACTAAACCAGACACCGCCCTCTTGTGTCCAGACCTGGTACTACCTGCAGCTCAGCCACAGATTTCCCAAATACACAGCAGAGAGTATTTTCAAAACCCAGAGACGTCAGAACCTCCTGTAGGACTGGACTCGGGTCTGTAGGACTGGACTCGGGTCTGCAGGACTGGACTCGGGTCTGCAGGACTGGACTCGGGTCTGCAGGACTGGACTCGGGTCTGTAGGACTGGACTCGGGGTCTGCAGGACTGGACTCGGGGTCTGCAGGACTGGACTCGGGTCTGTAAGACTGGACTCGGGGTCTGCAGGACTGGACTCGGGTCTGCAGGACTGGACTCGGGTCTGCAGGACTGGACTCGGGTCTGCAGGACTGGACTCGGGTCTGCAGGACTGGACTCGGGTCTGCAGGACTGGACTCGGGGTCTGTAGGACTGGACTCGGGTCTGTAGGACTGGACTCGGGGTCTGCAGGACTGGACTCGGGGTCTGCAGGACTGGACTCGGGGTCTGTAGGACTGGACTCGGGTCTGCAGGACTGGCCTCGGGTCTGTAGGACTGGACTCGGGGTCTGCAGGACTGGACTCGGGGTCTGCAGGACTGGACTCGGGTCTGCAGGACTGGACTCGGGTCTGCAGGACTGGACTCGGGGTCTGTAGGACTGGACTCGGGGTCTGTAGGACTGGACTCGGGGTCTGCAGGACTGGACATGGGGTCTGCAGGACTGGACTCGGGGTCTGTAGGACTGGACTCGGGTCTGCAGGACTGGCCTCGGGTCTGTAGGACTGGACTCGGGGTCTGCAGGACTGGACTCGGGGTCTGCAGGACTGGACTCGGGGTCTGCAGGACTGGACTCGGGGTCTGCAGGACTGGACTCGGGGTCTGCAGGACTGGACTCGGGGTCTGCAGGACTGGACTCGGGTCTGCAGGACTGGACTCGGGGTCTGTAGGACTGGACTCGGGGGCTGTAGGACTGGACTCGGGTCTGTAAGACTGGACTCGGGTCTGCAGGACTGGACTCGGGTCTGCAGGACTGGACTCGGGTCTGCAGGACTGGACTCGGGTCTGCAGGACTGGACTCGGGGTCTGCAGGACTGGACTCGGGGTCTGCAGGACTGGACTCGGGGTCTGCAGGACTGGACTCGGGGTCTGCAGGACTGGACTCGGGTCTGCAGGACTGGACTCGGGGTCTGTAGGACTGGACTCGGGGGCTGTAGGACTGGACTCGGGTCTGTAAGACTGGACTCGGGTCTGCAGGACTGGACTCGGGTCTGCAGGACTGGACTCGGGTCTGCAGGACTGGACTCGGGTCTGCAGGACTGGACTCGGGGTCTGCAGGACTGGACTCGGGGTCTGCAGGACTGGACTCGGGGTCTGCAGGACTGGACTCGGGTCTGTAGGACTGGACTCGGGGTCTGTAGGACTGGACTCGGGTCTGCAGGACTGGACTCGGGTCTGTAGGACTGGACTCGGGTCTGCAGGACTGGACTCGGGGTCTGCAGGACTGGACTCGGGGTCTGCAGGACTGGACTCGGGGTCTGCAGGACTGGACTCGGGGTCTGCAGGACTGGACTCGGGGTCTGTAGGACTGGACTCGGGTCTGCAGGACTGGACTCGGGTCTGTAGGACTGGACTCGGGGTCTGCAGGACTGGACTCGGGGTCTGCAGGACTGGACTCAGGGTTCTATCCAGACCGAGCCGGTTCTAAAGTGACAGTGCTGATAGAAGACGTGGTTACCCAGGAATTTCCCAGATACAGGTTTGTTGTAGAGTATTTATTTGTTCAGCACAGTTCACAGTGAGCGACAAACACAGGTCTCTAACTCTAACCCAGAAGTCCTCAGAGACGACTGCGGCTGTGCTTTTAGAGCCACAGGCGCAGTGTGGTCTTTACACAGCTGTATACAAGTCACATGACACAGCAGCAGCTGATTCTGTGACAAAAACAATCATTCTGAAAATAATCACTAACACCTGTGTAATTAACCACTAACACCTGTATAATTAACCACTAACACCTGTGTAATTAACCACTAACACCTGTATAATTAACCACTAACACCTGTATAATTAACCACTAACACCTGTATAATTAACCACTAACACCTGTGTAATTAACCACTAACACCTGTCTAATTAACCATTAACACCTGTGAAATTAACCACTTACACCTGTATAATTAACCACTGACACATGTATAATTAACCACTAACACCTGTATAATTAACCACTAACACCTGTATAATTAACCACTAACACCTGTATAATTAACCACTAACACCTGTATAATTAACCATTAACACCTGTGTAATTAACCACTAACACCTGTATAATTAACCACTAACACCTGTATAATTAACCACTAACACCTGTGTAATTAACCACTAACACCTGTGTAATTAACCACTAACACCTGTATAATTAACCACTAACACGTGTATAATTAACCACTAACACCTGTATAATTAACCATCAACACCTGTGTAATTAACCACTAACACCTGTATAATTAACCACTAACACCTGTATAATTAACCACTAATACCTGTATACTTAACCACTGACACCTGTATAATTAACCACTGACACCTGTATAATTAACCACTGACACCTGTATAATTAACCACTAACACCTGTATAATTAACCACTAACACATGTATAATTAACCACTGACACCTGTATAATTAACCACTGACACCTGTATAATTAACCACTGACACCTGTATAATTAACCACTAACACCTGTATAATTAACCACTAACACATGTATAATTAACCGCTAACACCTGTATAATTAACCACTAACACCTGTATAATTAACCACTAACACCTGTATAATTAACCACTAACACCTGTATAATTAACCACTAACACCTGTATAATTAACCACTAACACCTGTATAATTAACCACTAACACCTGTCTAATTAACCATTAACACCTGTGTAATTAACCACTAACACCTGTATAATTAACCACTAACACCTGTATAATTAACCACTAACACCTGTTTAATTAACCACTAACACCTGTGTAATTAACCACTAACACCTGTATAATTAACCACTAACACGTGTATAATTAACCACTAACACCTGTATAATTAACCATCAACACCTGTGTAATTAACCACTAACACCTGTATAATTAACCACTAACACCTGTATAATTAACCACTAACACCTGTATAATTAACCACTGACACCTGTATAATTAACCACTGACACCTGTATAATTAACCACTGACACCTGTATAATTAACCACTGACACCTGTATAATTAACCACTAACACCTGTATAATTAACCACTAACACCTGTATAATTAACCACTGACACCTGTATAATTAACCACTGACACCTGTATAATTAACCACTGACACCTGTATAATTAACCACTAACACCTGTATAATTAACCACTAACACATGTATAATTAACCGCTAACACCTGTATAATTAACCACTAACACCTGTATAATTAACCACTAACACCTGTATAATTAACCACTAACACCTGTATAATTAACCACTAACACCTGTATAATTAACCACTGACACCTGTATAATTAACCACTGACACATGTATAATTAACCACTAACACCTGTATAATTAACCACTGACACCTGTATAATTAACCACTGACACCTGTATAATTAACCACTGACACCTGTATAATTAACCACTGACACCTGTATAATTAACCACTAACACATGTATAATTAACCACTAACACCTGTATAATTAACCACTGACACCTGTATAATTAACCACTAACACCTGTATAATTAACCACTAACACATGTATAATTAACCACTAACACCTGTATAATTAACCACTAACACCTGTATAATTAACCACTGACACCTGTATAATTAACCACTGACACCTGTATAATTAACCACTAACACCTGTATAATTAACCACTAACACCTGTATAATTAACCACTAACACCTGTATAATTAACCACTAACACCTGTATAATTAACCACTGACACCTGTATAATTAACCACTAACACCTCTGGTCTCCCTCTGGTCTCTCTCTGGTCTCCCTCTGGTCTCTCTCTGGTCCCTCTGGTCTCCCTCTGGTCCCCTGGTCTCCCTCTGGTCTCCCTCTGGTCTCCCTCTGGTCTCCCTCTGGTCTCCCTCTGGTCTCCCTCTGGTCTCTCTCTGGTCTCTCTCTGGTCTCCCTCTGGTCCCCTGGTCTCCCTCTGGTCTCCCTCTGGTCTCCCTCTGGTCCCCCTCTGGTCTCCCTCTGGTCCTCTGGTCTCCCTCTGGTCCTCTGGTCTCCCTCTGGCCCTCTGGTCTCCCTCTGGTCCTCTGGTCTCCCTCTGGTCTCCCTCTGGTCTCCCTCTGGTCCCTCTGGTCTCCCTCTGGTCTCCCTCTGGTCTCCCTCTGGTCTCTCTCTGGTCCTCTGGTCTCCCTCTGGTCTCCCTCTGGTCTCCCTCTGGTCCCCCTCTGGTCTCCCTCTGGTCTCCCTCTGGTCCTCTGGTCTCCCTCTGGTCTCCCTCTGGTCTCCCTCTGGTCTCTCTCTGGTCTCTCTCTGGTCTCTCTCTGGTCTCTCTCTGGTCTCTCTCTGGTCTCCCTCTGGTCTCCCTCTGGTCTCCCTCTGGTCTCCCTCTGGTCTCCCTCTGGTCTCTCTCTCTGGTCTCCCTCTGGTCTCCCTCTGGTCTCCCTCTGGTCTCCCTCTGGTCTCCCTCTGGTCTCCCTCTGGTCTCCCTCTGGTCCTCTGGTCTCCCTCTGGTCTCCCTCTGGTCTCCCTCTGGTCTCTCTCTGGTCTCCCTCTGGTCTCCCTCTGGTCTCCCTCTGGTCTCCCTCTGGTCTCCCTCTGGTCTCAGTCCTCACCTGGAGTCTCACAGATGTGTATTTCTTTGGTTTTAGCGTCTTTACTGGGTCCGATGCTAAAATAAGGAAACATCCTCTCAGTCCATGTGTGTGTGAGTGTGAGCAGGTGGGTCATGTGACCAGCGTCATAGAAGGACACGGTTCCTTTGGCATGGTCCAGTTTGACCCGGATCTTCTCTGGTCTCTTCTTCACAGTCACAGGTTTATCACAGCCGTCTGTGTATTTACCATCTCTGTGCCATAAACACCAGATTCCATATTTAGGTGTAGCAAATATCTTTCCTTTCCTGTCGGTCGACTCTTGTGCGACTCCGATGGTCCAGTTTGGATGATCTCCCACCTCCACGTCCCACTGGTGTGTCCCAGAGATGAAGCCCTCAGAGCCCAGGACAGTGAAGTACTTACTGAACCTCTCTGGGAGGTCAGGGAGCAGGTCCTGAAGAGTGTCTCCTTGAGTCACTGCACTGAGGTCCTCAGACAGATACAGGCCTCTGTCAGCTGTGTTTGGATCCAGGACCACTGGACTGTGTCTCACTGCTCTCCTCAGGCTCCTCCAGACCCTGAAGCCCAGGTTCCCCAGGACTTTGGCCTGGTCCAGCATCAGTCCTGTGGGGAGAGGAGTCTGGTCCTGGTCCTGGTCCTGGTCCTGGTCCTGGTCCTGCCTCAGCCCTGTGGGGACAGGAGGCGTCAGGAGAAAGTCCCGTGCTGGTGTCTGCAGATGTTCCTCCAGCTGTTGGATGCTGAGGTCCACAGAGGACAGTTTGTCTCTGAGTGTTGTCCTCTGGGACATGAGGAGGTGCTTCTGTCTGTCCTGCTCCTGCCTCAGAGCTCTCAGTGCAGTGTCCTGCTCCTCCTGCAGGTGGCGCCGCAGCCTGTGGAACACAGCAGAGATCTGTCTCTCACAGTGCAGAGCCTGTTTCTCAGACTGGTTCTGGATCTGGTCATATTTGTTGTGCAGGTCTTCACAGGTCTGTCTGGTCTTCTTCAGAGTCTGCAGCTGCGATCGCAGAGGCTGCTTCAGCTGCTCCTCCGCCTCCTCCTCACTCAGCACCTCGTGGTCTTTGTGTTTACGGAACTCACAGAGCGCACAGAAGCAGCAGGCCTCGTCCAGGCAGAAGAGAGGAGGCACCTGGGGGTGGACCGAGCATCCTGACCACCGCTGGGTCTGGTCCTGGGTCTGGTCCTGGGTCTGGTCCTGGGTCTGGTCCTGGGTCTGGTCCTGGGTCTGCAGCTTCAGCCTCAGATCGTCGCTCAGTTGTTTCAAACTAAAGTTTATTATCAGTTCTTTAGAATCCCTCTTCCTACAGAGAGGGCAGCTCCTGCTCTGGTCCTGGACCCAGTGCTTCTGGACACAGCTGCTGCAGAAGCTGTGGTTACAGCTCAGAGACACAGGATCCACGAAGGTGTCCAGACAAATGGAACAGGTCAGAAAGTCTCTCACAGCTGCGTCTGCCATCGTCCTCAGGAGAGAGACTCAGGAGAGAGACTCAGGAGAGAGACTCAGTGTCAGGAAAGAGACTCAGGAGAGAGACTCAGGAGAGAGACTCAGGTCAGGAAAGAGACTCAGTCTCAGGAGAGAGACTCAGGAGAGAGCCTCAGGAGAGAGCCTCAGCCTCAGGAGAGAGCCTCAGCATCAGGAGACAGCATCAGTCTCAGGAGAGACCCTCAGGAGAGAGCCTCAGTGTCAGGAAAGAGACTCAGAAGAGAGCGTCAGGAGAGAGACTCAGGAGAGAGCCTCAGGAGGGAGACTCAGGAGAGAGACTCAGGAGGGAGACTCAGGAGAGAGACTCAGTGTCAGGAGAGAGACTCAGTCTCAGGAGAGAGTCTCAGAAGAGAGCGTCAGGAGAGAGCCTCAGGAGAGAGCCTCAGGAGAGAGCCTCAGTGTCAGGAGAGAGACTCAGGAGAGAGCCTCAGTGTCAGGAGAGAGACTCAGGAGAGAGCCTCAGTGTCAGGAGAGAGATTCAGGAGAGTGACTCAGGAGAGAGACTTAGGAGAAAGCCTCAGCATTAGGAGAGAGCATAAGTCTCAGGAGAGAGTCTCAGGAGAGAGTGTCAGCATCAGGAGAGAGTCTCAGGAGAGAGCGTCAGCATCAGGAGAGAGTCTCAGGAGAGAGCGTCAGCCTGTGAGAGAACACACAGAACAGGTTTGTTTGAAAATCCACATGTCATGAGCAGGAAGCACATGACAGCCTGGTATTTGTTTCCTTGAGAAGCTTTACTGTCCCTGTGCTCCACTCTGTCCCTGTGCTCCACCCTGTCCCTGTGCTCCACCCTGTCCCTGTGCTCCACTCTGTCCCTGTGCTCCACCCTGTCCCTGTGCTCCACTCTGTCCCTGTGCTCTACTCTGTCCCTGTGCTCCACTCTGTCCCTGTGCTCTACTCTGTCCCTGTGCTCCACCCTGTCCCTGTGCTCCACCCTGTCCCTGTGCTCCACTCTGTCCCTGTGCTCCACTCTGTCCCTGTGCTCCACCCTGTCCCTGTGCTCCACTCTGTCCCTGTGCTCCACCCTGTCCCTGTGCTCCACTCTGTCCCTGTGCTCCACTCTGTCCCTGTGCTCCACCCTGTCCCTGTGCTCCACTCTGTCCCTGTGCTCCACTCTATCCCTGTGCTCCACTGTCCTGTCCCTGTGCTCCACTCTGTCCCTGTGCTCCACCCTGTCCCTGTGCTCCACTCTGTCCCTGTGCTCCACTCTATCCCTGTGCTCCACTCTGTCCCTGTGCTCCACTCTGTCCCTGTGCTCCACTCTGTCCCTGTGCTCCACCCTGTCCCTGTGCTCCACTCTGTCCCTGTGCTCCACTCTGTCCCTGTGCTCCACTCTGTCCCTGTGCTCCACCCTGTCCCTGTGCTCCACTCTGTCCCTGTGCTCCACTCTGTCCCTGTGCTCCACCCTGTCCCTGTGCTCCACTCTGTCCCTGTGCTCCACTCTGTCCCTGTGCTCCACTCTGTCCCTGTGCTCCACCCTGTCCCTGTGCTCCACCCTGTCCCTGTGCTCCACTCTGTCCCTGTGCTCCACTCTGTCCCTGTGCTCCACTCTGTCCCTGTGCTCCACCCTGTCCCTGTGCTCCACTCTGTCCCTGTGCTCCACCCTGTCCCTGTGCTCCACCCTGTCCCTGTGCTCCACTCTGTCCCTGTGCTCCACTCTGTCCCTGTGCTCAGAGAGAGAGACACACACACACACAGACACACACACACACACACACACACACACACACACACACACACACACACACACACACACACACACACACACAGACACACACACACACACACACACACACAGACACACACACAGACACACACACACACAGACACACACACAGACACACACACACACACACACACACACACACACACACACACACACACACACACACACACACACACACACACACACACAGACACACACACACACAGACACACACACAGACACACACACAGACACAGACACACACACACACAGACACAGACACACACACACACAGACACACACACACACACACAGACACACAGACACAGACACAGACACAGACACACACACACACACAGACACACACACACACAGACACAGACACACACACACACACACACACAGACACACACACACACACACACACACACACAGACACACACAGACACACACACACACACACACACAGACACAGTTACACACACACACACACACACACACACACACACACACACATACGTGTTTTTATTACACGGTGGGGACCAGTTTTTTAAGTTGTCTAGAACATGCATGGTGAGGACCTCACTTTAAACAATGATTAATTGCTCATTTTAACTCATAAAAAATTGGCTTTAAGACAGAATTGCAGGGGGGGGCGTGGCCCCTCTGATATCACCTCAAGTCCCAAAATCTTCATTTTTTTCTTTTGTCTGGACTTTCTATCCCCATGGGGACTAACAATTATGTAGTACCAAAAACCACCATCAGGTGTCACTATAAGATTTTTTTTTTATTATTATTTTTGTATTGTCTCAAACTTGCCTCCTAGGAACTTCATGCATTTTACTTGTTACTTTGGTGTATTCCTTTGACATGAAAGATTAGGAGAATATTGTAGACTTGTGTTGTAAGTAAATCACTGGTTAATTGTGCAATTTATTAGCCCAGATTATGAAAGTTTATAATAAAACATTTATTTTTTTACATGACGAATACTGCAGACACAAAAGTGAATGCATTTTTCAAATAACAAAATAAAATGATTCAAACAATAAAAGATACTGAAAGAACAGATGTCTTAACAAAATAAAATGACTGTATTTAAACACTTTAAATTTTTCATTTTGAAGACTCTCTCTTTAGAGCATCGATACGGTTTTTTACATAGAACTTCACTCCCTCCCATGTTCTCCCTTTAAGAGCGGTCTGTGAAGCGTTAATACACTCCAGACACTGGGCTTTCCCGGGAACCTTTAGGGTCCTGATGCAGTCCATGAGGGTTTTCTCCACAGCCTGGATTTCTTCCTCAGTCCACTTCCTCTTTTTGACAACAACCTTTCCTAAAACATATAAGAGAAACATTTAATCATCTGTGAAAAGAAAAAAATACATATGAACAATGCCAATGAGAATAAGCCAGGTTCAAATAGAAGGTCAATTTGTTGCTTCATAAACCAAGCTCAGTAACTAATGTTGATTTAAGATAAGATATAATTTATTAATCTCACACAGGAGAAATTTACAAGTCTTATCTTATTTAGGCCTTCTATAAGCCTGGTCTGGAGTTCACAATGAGTCTATAAAACATTTCACTTTTGTCAAGGCGAGCAATGGAAAAGGTTTTATTTTATGACTGTTGAAAATGTGGAATTAAAAAGGAAAATATAAGTCAGCTAAGACCCTTTACTCATTCACTGCCAATGACGAATTTCAGACTTTTGGAACTGAGACATAGGAGCAAAGGTTAGACATAGGAGCAGAGGTTAGACATAGGAGCAGAGGTTAGACATAGGAGCAGAGGTTAGACATAGGAGCAGAGGTTAGACATAGGAGCAGGTTAGACATATGAGCAGGTTAGACATATGAGCAGGTTAGACATAGGAGCAGGTTAGACATAGGAGCAGGTTAGACATAGGAGCAGGTAAGACATATGAGCAGGTTAGACATAGGAGCAGAGGTTAGACATAGGAGCAGGTTAGACATAGGAGCAGGTTAGACATAGGAGCAGGTTAGACATATGAGCAGAGGTTAGACATAGGAGCAGAGGTTAGACATAGGAGCAGAGGTTAGACATAGGAGCAGAGGTTAGACATATGAGCAGAGGTTAGACATAGGAGCAGAGGTTAGACATAGGAGCAGGTTAGACATATGAGCAGGTTAGACATAGGAGCATAGGTTAGACATATGAGCAGAGGTTAGACATATGAGCAGAGGTTAGACATAGGAGCAGAGGTTAGACATAGGAGCAGGTTAGACATAGGAGCAGAGGTTAGACATAGGAGCAGAGGTTAGACATAGGAGCAGGTTAGACATATGAGCAGAGGTTAGACATATGAGCAGGTTAGACATAGGAGCAGAGGTTAGACATAGGAGCAGGTTAGACATATGAGCAGGTTAGACATATGAGCAGGTTAGACATAGGAGCAGGTTAGACATATGAGCAGAGGTTAGACATATGAGCAGGTTAGACATAGGAGCAGGTTAGACATATGAGCAGAGGTTAGACATATGAGCAGGTTAGACATAGGAGCAGAGGTTAGACATAGGAGCAGGTTAGACATAGGAGCAGGTTAGACATATGAGCAGGTTAGACATAGAAGCAGGTTAGACATATGAGCAGGTTAGACATAGGAGCAGGTTAGACATATGAGCAGGTTAGACATAGGAGCAGAGGTTAGACATAGGAGCAGGTTAGACATATGAGCAGGTTAGACATAGAAGCAGGTTAGACATAGGAGCAGGTTAGACATATGAGCAGGTTAAACATAGAAGCAGGTTAGACATAGAAGCAGGTTAGACATATGAGCAGGTTAGACATATGAGCAGAGATTAGACATAGGAGCAGGTTAGACATAGGAGCAGAGGTTAGACATAGGAGCAGGTTAGACATAGGAGCAGAGGTTAGACATAGGAGCAGGTTAGACATAGGAGCAGGTTAGACATATGAGCAGGTTAGACATAGGAGCAGGTTAGACATAGGAGCAGGTTAGACATATGAGCAGGTTAGACATAGAAGCAGGTTAGACATAGGAGCAGGTTAGACATATGAGCAGGTTAGACATAGGAGCAGGTTAGACATAGGAGCAGGTTAGACATATGAGCAGGTTAGACATAGAAGCAGGTTAGACATAGGAGCAGGTTAGACATATGAGCAGAGGTTAGACATAGGAGCAGAAGTTAGACATAGGAGCAGAGGTTAGACATATGAGCAGGTTAGACATAGGAGCAGGTTAGACATATGAGCAGGTTAGACATAGGAGCAGAGGTTAGACATAGGAGCAGGTTAGACATAGGAGCAGGTTAGACATATGAGCAGGTTAGACATAGGAGCAGAGGTTAGACATAGGAGCAGAAGTTAGACATAGGAGCAGGTTAGACATAGGAGCAGAGGTTAGACATAGGAGCAGGTTAGACATAGGAGCAGGTTAGACATAGGAGCAGGTTAGACATAGGAGCAGGTTAGACATAGGAGCAGGTTAGACATATGAGCAGGTTAGACATAGAAGCAGGTTAGACATAGGAGCAGGTTAGACATAGGAGCAGGTTAGACATAGGAGCAGGTTAGACATATGAGCAGGTTAGACATAGAAGCAGGTTAGACATAGGAGCAGGTTAGACATATGAGCAGAGGTTAGACATAGGAGCAGAAGTTAGACATAGGAGCAGAGGTTAGACATATGAGCAGGTTAGACATAGGAGCAGGTTAGACATATGAGCAGGTTAGACATAGGAGCAGAGGTTAGACATAGGAGCAGGTTAGACATAGGAGCAGGTTAGACATAGGAGCAGAAGTTAGACATAGGAGCAGGTTAGACATATGAGTAGAGGTTAGACATATGAGCAGGTTAGACATATGAGCAGGTTAGACATAGGAGCAGAAGTTAGACATATGAGCAGGTTAGACATATGAGTAGAGGTTAGACATATGAGCAGGTTAGACATAGGAGCAGGTTAGACATAGGAGCAGGTTAGACATAGAAGCAGGTTAGACATAGGAGCAGGTTAGACATAGGAGCAGGTTAGACATATGAGCAGGTTAGACATAGAAGCAGGTTAGACATAGGAGCAGGTTAGACATATGAGCAGAGGTTAGACATAGGAGCAGAAGTTAGACATAGGAGCAGAGGTTAGACATATGAGCAGGTTAGACATAGGAGCAGGTTAGACATATGAGCAGGTTAGACATAGGAGCAGAGGTTAGACATAGGAGCAGGTTAGACATAGGAGCAGGTTAGACATAGGAGCAGAAGTTAGACATAGGAGCAGGTTAGACATATGAGTAGAGGTTAGACATATGAGCAGGTTAGACATATGAGCAGGTTAGACATAGGAGCAGAAGTTAGACATATGAGCAGGTTAGACATATGAGTAGAGGTTAGACATATGAGCAGGTTAGACATAGGAGCAGGTTAGACATAGGAGCAGGTTAGACATAGAAGCAGGTTAGACATATGAGCAGGTTAGACATAGGAGCAGGTTAGACATATGAGCAGGTTAGACATAGGAGCAGAGGTTAGACATAGGAGCAGGTTAGACATATGAGCAGGTTAGACATAGAAGCAGGTTAGACATAGGAGCAGGTTAGACATATGAGCAGGTTAAACATAGAAGCAGGTTAGACATAGAAGCAGGTTAGACATATGAGCAGGTTAGACATATGAGCAGAGGTTAGACATAGGAGCAGGTTAGACATAGGAGCAGAGGTTAGACATAGGAGCAGGTTAGACATAGGAGCAGAGGTTAGACATAGGAGCAGGTTAGACATAGGAGCAGGTTAGACATATGAGCAGGTTAGACATAGGAGCAGGTTAGACATAGGAGCAGGTTAGACATATGAGCAGGTTAGACATAGAAGCAGGTTAGACATAGGAGCAGGTTAGACATATGAGCAGGTTAGACATAGGAGCAGGTTAGACATAGGAGCAGGTTAGACATATGAGCAGGTTAGACATAGAAGCAGGTTAGACATAGGAGCAGGTTAGACATATGAGCAGAGGTTAGACATAGGAGCAGAAGTTAGACATAGGAGCAGAGGTTAGACATATGAGCAGGTTAGACATAGGAGCAGGTTAGACATATGAGCAGGTTAGACATAGGAGCAGAGGTTAGACATAGGAGCAGGTTAGACATAGGAGCAGGTTAGACATATGAGCAGGTTAGACATAGGAGCAGAGGTTAGACATAGGAGCAGAAGTTAGACATAGGAGCAGAAGTTAGACATAGGAGCAGAGGTTAGACATATGAGCAGGTTAGACATATGAGCAGAGGTTAGACATATGAGCAGGTTAGACATATGAGCAGGTTAGACATAGGAGCAGAGGTTAGACATATGAGCAGGTTAGACATAGGAGCAGGTTAGACATAGGAGCAGGTTAGACATAGGAGCAGGTTAGACATAGGAGCAGGTTAGACATAGGAGCAGAAGTTAGACATAGGAGCAGGTTAGACATAGGAGCAGGTTAGACATAGGAGCAGAAGTTAGACATAGGAGCAGAAGTTAGACATAGGAGCAGGTTAGACATATGAGCAGAAGTTAGACATAGGAGCAGGTTAGACATATGAGCAGGTTAGACATAGGAGCAGGTTAGACATAGGAGCAGAGGTTAGACATAGGAGCAGGTTAGACATAGGAGCAGAAGTTAGACATATGAGCAGGTTAGACATAGGAGCAGGTTAGACATAGGAGCAGGTTAGACATATGAGCAGAAGTTAGACATATGAGCAGGTTAGACATATGAGTAGAAGTTAGACATATGAGCAGGTTAGATGAGGGTCAAGTAACAAGAGGTTTTTCTATTGAAGAACTTCATAGTTTACCTTTAGCTTTTGGTCGTGCTGTGACCTCCTGCAGCGGCTCCTTTTCTTCCAAACCATCCTCCAATCCACCTGCAAACATGTATAAATGAAGAGATAGAGGCTTTATGTAAATTTGAGAAATATTAAAGATGGCCCAAAGTCTATGTAGGGAGACCTTTCCATCCAATTTGCATACTATGACCTATTTTACACAATTTGAACTCCTCCCAATAGTCTGTATAACCTGTAATCCTATTAGTCTATAAATTACCTTGGGCTGGACGAGCACCAATTTGTCCAATGGCATTACTTGATTTCTTGTTCACCTTAAAGTGCGAGTCTGTAAAGAAAGAATCAATTGTAAACAATTTTTACATCCGGTTGATAATATTATAATATTGTTACTTTTTCAATTGGCTATTTATTTGTTTTACTTTTATGGATGCATGTGTTTCTGCTTCTACTGGCCACCTGCATTTCTCCTATGGGGATTAATAAAGTATTTATCAATCTGTTACATAACAGAGCATGGGGCGCCAACATGACAGACAGTGGCTAACAAAAAAGATGCGGTAGTTCTGTAGGTTGGATTGTATTTTTTTGTCATTTTGGGCTGATCTGCTCATAATTACACAGGAAACTTCTGTATGACCCCTGTATGACCCACTGTCCACCTGCAGGTGGGTTGGAGGGGGTTTGAGTCATTCAAACAGAGCTTGAATAAGGTCCATAAATGACACTCAGCTAATGCTAGCTGACGCTAGCCCTATTAGCACATAGCGCGGGGTTCCACTGAGATAATGCTAGTTCAATTAGCTTGTTGCAATACCCGCGGTGAATTTCCACCATTACAATAATATAAAGCGTACTTTTTTAACGTAACATTCAGTCTGTCATCCCCCTCAATGTAAAAATCAAGTAAATATATTCACTTACCATTTCTCCAGAGCCAACTTTGACCGCGTCCGTCCTATCTGCTCTCTGGCGCGGACTGAACCAGGGGAAGAGGAGCGCTTGATTTCCACATTGATTACACCTCTGAGTTAAAGTCACGCATTCAACATAAAAGAAAACTCCGGGACATCCCGTTTGAAAAACGAGCGCACCCACAGGCCACAGCCAACTCTCTAAACTTTTATACATACTGTTTAACAAAGATAATTTAGAAATAGTCGCTCACGTAAGACGTGGTAGAATGGAAAGTATAGCAGTAAAAATAAAGAATGTAGGCAGAGTCAGGGTGGGGACCTCAAAACTCAGTTTGTGTGTGCTGGCTCCGGAAAGAATCATTATGGGGTAATGGCGGGAAGGGGGGGGGCATGGTCGGGGTGGGGACCTCAAAACTCAGGTAGTGTGTGCGGGCTCTGGTTGTATTGCTTGTCGGCGGTCGGCAAGTTAAGTCCTTTTGTGTTGATCGTAGGTATATGAAATATATATATATATATATATATATATATATATATATAAAAATAAAATATACATATATAGATGTATATATAAAATATACATATATAGATATATATATAAAATATACATATATAGATTTATATATATTAGATTATATATATATATAATGTCCTTATTTTTGAAGGAAAAGAACTGATAACTTCAAACTAGTCTTAACTTTAAAGAAATACACTACATTGCTCATGTGGTAAATGACTATTCTAGCTGCAAATGTCGTGGTGCAATGTCGTAATTGCTGCAAATGGAGGGCTTTTGAATGGTAGTGTATAATATACATAGCTTAGCTGCTTAGCTGCCATTTTTAGCGACCATTTTGTCTCCCATAGAATGTCTCTTGGGAAGTTTTCGTCATTTGAATGTCTTTTTTTTTTTTTTTTAACTCTTTATTTTTTCATTTTATATTAACACATGAAACAAAACCAACAAACTGAGACAAGGAATAGAAAAAATAATGATAATAATAATAATAGTAAAATAATATATATACAGTCATATATAAACAACAATATATAATATAATAACATCCACACCTACATATATATGAATATGTGTCTTTTAAAATACAACAAAAACAATCTCCAATACTCTTCATTGTCCTATACAAGCCACCGCAGTCATGTCACAGTTTTATTGATAATTTTACTGAGTTGCTTTCAGTTGTATGCACAGATTTTGATAGTTTAGTTATTACAGGTGATTTTAATATTCATGTGGATAATGTTAATGACAGAAATGCAAATGAGCCAAGTTCTGTACTTGAATCCTTTGATCTCACTCAGCACGTAAGTGGCCCCACCCACAGCAGAGGGCACACTCTAGATCTGTTAGTTACTAAGGGGGTGAACATTTCAAATGTAAACGTGGTCGATGTTGCTCTTTCGGATCATTTCTGTGTTTTTTTTGACATGTGTTTCACTAACAAACCACCAGTGGACTCTGCATCTGTTCGAAGAAGACATCCATCCATCCATCCATTTTCTTCCCCTTAATCCATTTCTGGGTTGGGGGGGTGGCAGTCAGAGCTGCACCCAGTACACAGAGCACCAGCCCCTCACTGATCCTCCTGCAGGTGGTGAGTCCACAGGAGCTGAGATCTTTCAGTTGGGGCTTTGGGCAAAGTAGGGTTAAGTGTCTTGCCCAAGGACACAACAACAGCAGTCATCAGTGGGAGTCGTGAAGTAGGTCTTATGGTGGGCTCGAACCCACAACCTTCAGGCCCAAAGGCCAATGCTCTACCAACTGAGCTACTGTCGCCCCTCGAAGAAGACACATAAATGAAAATACGAGTGATCTATTTATGGGAATGATAAACTTTGAGAATGCATCGTGTTCTACCTCTAGTGTTTTGAATGTTCTGGACACCATCGCTCCTGTGAAGGTTAAAATAGTGAAAAATAAGCAGAAGGCGCCGTGGGCTAAAGCAGACTCAATCAGGGCACAAAAGAGAAAGTGCCGGAGGGCCGAGCGGAAGTGGCGCAAGTCCAACCTCCAGGTTGATTACGAGATCTTCAAAGATAAGTTGTGCGAGTTTAACCGGGTGCTACGTAGTACGAGAGAAAGGTATTTTTCTGAAATGATTGAAGGCTGCAGCAACAATCTGCGTGTTCTGTTCTCAACAGTTAATAGATTAACAAACCCCCTGTTCAAATGCCATTAGAGCTAACTTCCAAACGTAAATGCAATGCTAATTTTTTCAATGACAAGGTTCAAGGCATCAAAAACGCCATTGTCTCCAATCCACAGATAACCATCCAACAGCCAGAAAGGCTCTTTGAGCTAACTCACTTTGCACCTGTAAATGATCAAACTGTCCAAGAGATAATCTCCAGTTTGAGCTCCTCCACATGCAGCCTGGATGTACTACCCACTACATTTCTGAAGTCTGTTCTGAGCAGTCTGTTACCTTCACTCACACAGATAGTAAACATGTCCCTTCATTCTGGAATATTCCCAAAGGCCCTGAAAACTGCAGTCATCAGGCCCCTGCTAAAAAAAGAGCAGTCTGCGGTACTTAACAACTATCGTCCCATCTCAAATCTGCCATTTATGGGGAAAGTCCTTGAGAAAGTTGGCTACCTACAGCTTACTAGATTTCTTATAATCAACAACTCATTTGATATGTTTCAGTCCGGCTTTAGACCCCACCACAGCACTGAGACTGCTCTCGTCAAGGTTACAAACGATATCCGGCTGAACACTGACGCAGGCAAAGTCTCAATCCTAATCCTGTTAGATCTGAGTGCTGCCTTTGACACTGTCGGGGTGGCCATTCTCATTGCCCCCCATCTCAGCCGCCACGTGTTGGAGTTCTCCCCGGTGAATGAGAGGGTCGCGTCCCTCCGACTTCGGGTGGGGGACAAGTCTCTCACTGTTGTGACGGCCTACGGGCCAAACAGCAGTGCAGAGTACCCGGCCTTCTTGGAGTCCTTGGGAGGGGTACTGGACGGTGCACCGACCGGGGACTCCGTTATTCTCCTGGGGGACTTCAACGCCCATGTGGGAAATTCCAGTGACACTTGGAGAGGGGTGATTGGAGCCGTTCTTCCCGATCACCCTCCTGGAGCTTAACGAGCTCTCCAAAATCCAGCCCTGCAGAGGGGGGTAAACGCCTATAAGTCTCAGACCATGTTAGTTTCACAAGCCAAACAAAGCCGATTTTGGTTCTACTGGGGTAATAAGCTTGAATTTCGGATATGTGGTAGAGGGCCACAAGACGAGTCCAACGGTGTATGTTAGACCTCTGGGGGCCTTACGGTTCTTGGTGGGCGGGCCTTCGTTCGGTAAAAAAAATCACGCCAATCAAGCTCGTCACGTCACCTTACTGCAGCTCATATATGTGACTCGTCACATCTAGGGCTTTCCAAGGACACCTCCGTTATCGTTCTACGACCTCGTTTGGCCGAGTAATTAGACTTGACGAGGCGCGGCTGAACATCGCAGGGTCAAAAGCTTTACACCGTTGCGTTCAGCTCGTCGAGCCGGTTCCGTAGAGGGGTCGTTTGTGCCTATACGACCAGGGGAAAATGTCACACTCTACGGTCAGCTTTAAAATGACCTTTAAAACCTCTTTTGCGCAAAAATTGAGCTAGAGCTCTAAAATTTGGACAGGTCATAGCCTGTGCGTCTGGGATAATGGAAAAAATACTAATAACTTTGTATCTTTTTAAACGGCCCTACAATTGGTGAACGAATTTTGAATTTTGGCTGACCTTGCTGCAGCTCATATATGTGACTCGTCACGTGGAGGGCTTTCCAACGATTTCTGTACCATCGCTCTACGACCTCGTTTGGCCGAGTTATAACACTTAACGAGGTGCATGTTTTTAAAGGGTTGTCGCCCCCTAGCTCCGCGATGGAACATGGCAGGGACAAAAGCTTTACACCGTTGCGTTCGGCTGGTCGAGCCGGTTCCGTAGAGGTCTGGCTTGTGCCTGTGCGACCCCGGAAAAGAATCTGAGCTTTGCCAAGCTAGCATTTCAAGGTGGGGTTAGGGTCTATGGTCCTGACACCCTCTTGACTGGCTAGGCCAGATTTGGTCGCGATATGTTCTACTGGGGTTACAGGCTTGAATTTCGGATATGTGGTAGAGGGCCACGAGACGAGTCCAACGGTATACGTTAGACCTCTGGGGGCCTTACGGTTCTCGGTGGGCGGGCCTTCGTTCGGTAAAAAAAATCACGCCAATCAAGCTCGTCACGGCTTCAAATTAAATCCAAACAAGTCCAAATTCGGTGCACGCCTCCTTACACACAATCCGACCGAAAATCCAAAGTTTCGGGCCGACCGGGCACTCGGTTGGCTACTTTGCTTCCTATTGGTCGGTTTGAGTGGGCGCCTACATATTCGAGCTCAGAATAGCCTGTTGTGTAACATAGTCAAAAATGAGGCCGGTAGTCCAAAGTTGAAATGTTGGTACACCTCCCCTTTAATGTTAGGCTTTTGAAGGCCCAAAAAGTGCTTGGAGGCTTGTAAAAAGTTCAAATTTCATCCAAACTAGTCGAAACTTGGTACGCACCCTTCTACGTACAAGCTGAACATTAATCCAAAGTTTCAACTGGCTCGGCCACCCGCTTTTTAAAAGAGGAGGGTCTCGGTGGCCAGGAAAATCCAGGAAAGTCCTGATTTTGGTTGGAGGACAGCGCCACCTTGCTGCAGCTCATATATGTGACTCGTCACATCTAGGGCTTTCCAAGGACACCTCCGTTATCGTTCTACGACCTCGTTTGGCCGAGTAATTAGACTTAACGAGGCGCGTTTTTAAAAAAATTCGTCGCCCCCTAGCGCTGCAGCTGAACATCGCAGGGTCAAAAGCTTTACACCGTTGCGTTCGGCTGGCCGAGCCGGTTCCGTAGAGGTCTGGCTTGTGCCTGTGCGACCTTCGGAAAAGAATCTGAGCTTTGCCAAGCTAGCATTTCAAGGTGGGGTTAGGGTCTATGGTCCTGACACCATGTTGACTGGCTAGGCCAGAATTCAAGCAAATTAAATTCAAGCAAATTAAATTCAAACGCGTCCAAATTCGGTACACGCCTCCGGTGGTTGCCCGTCAGAAAGTAGCCCAAACCGTCAACGAGGTTAGCCGATTCCCGACAAGTAGCCCAAAAAGCAGTGGCCTCGGAGCATAAGCGGCTACCTACCCCCGTTTTCGGCTACCTCCCCATTCATTTTAGGTATCCGATTTGCAACTTTCCCTAGGGTGATGGAGGGGAGGTACAGCCTCCTCCTCTTCTTTCGGCCTCCTCTGGAGCCTCTGCGTCTCCTGCGGATCTCCACAGGTGATCCACAGGATCACCGGCTTCTCGGAGTGCAGGAAAGCGGAGTCTCTTTGTCCGAGGAGCTGCTCCCGTGTGTTGTCAATGGGACACGTGGGGGGGCTTGTGGTGCTGTGAGCGGAGGAATCCAAAAGTGCCAAAAACTTGATTAATCCTGTGATAAGTCTGACAAGACTAGACTTCCCTTGTGCACTAATGCACAACATAACACCTACTTTAAAGAAAAATAATAAAATAGCACATCTACAAGAAATAAATAGAGAAAAGGTCGGAAAGCGGAGCGAGCCGAGGTGACTAGCTGCACAGCTAGTCACCTAGCAATACAACTTATTCTCGTATAGCCCTAAATCACAACAGTAGTCATCTCAGAGGACTAAACCGTTGAAATCCCCAACACAGATCAGAGAATCAACAGTTAAGACACTAAAATATTGAATACATACAGTATGTATTAAACCATAGGGACAAACCAATGTCCACGAATGTTGATAAATGTCCATACATGTTCAATCCATTCCACTTTATTTATATAGCGCATTTCATAAACACAGTTTCCAAAGTAATGCACAATAAAATACAAAATAAAACAATCCATAGTAAAACACTCATATAATAAAAAATAAAAAATGAAAAACCGTGTGTGCATATATGTATAAATATAAAAATAACAAATGTTTTAGAATGCTACATGTTGTTTGTGCCCATTCAAACAGTCCACTGTTAAGCAACAAAAGTGTGTCTTTATTTGTGCTAAACCATGGCTTGAAAAAAGCACTAAGTGAGGCACGCAGTGACCCTACCTCATGTTAGGGGGCAAGCATGAGCTTAGTTCGGCTGCTTTCAATTCCACACAAAAAATCCCCTTCTTAGTTTTTCCTCTGCTTAGGGCAGCTACAGGTTTGCCCAACATAAATGTAACACATTATATATTATAGTTCAACGTGCCACTTTGAACCACTTTCTTTGTTTCAAATGTTGATAAGAATAATAAGGATGAAGTGAAGAATAAGAAGGTTTATTATGAAATTGGACGCGTCCCAGAGCCGGCGCCAGACAGCTAGCAAAATGCGAGTGGAGACCGCTGTTTGCTTTTACTTTTTTAAGTCTTATTTTCAAATGGAGGAACACTTATCTAAGCTTGATTTGATATCTAAATGGACTGGAAGACAGAACAGATGTTCCCTGCTGTATTAAATGGATACAGAAATGGACTATATATTAACATGGAGCAGGGTCTGGACTTGGATTATTAGACAAGGTAAGACAAAAAACTCGTGTTCAATGTGCTTTTTAAATGCTCTTGACACCTGCATGGATTCCTAGAAGGTCTTGAAGAGTCTGGGGAAGTGGGGGAATTCTCAATTTCGCATTCACTTTTGTCACTTGTCAATATATATAAAATAATAATAATAATAAATTAAGTATATTATATATATATATATATCCCTCTATCTATTAATTAACATAGCATAAATAAAGAGAACACTGCCTAGGAAACAAAGAAAATAATTAACTTCTTGTAAATTGTTATTAATATATTGATTAAAAGATACATTTGGAGTTGAATTGTTGCAATAACTAATATTTTTGGTTTAAAACAAAGAAGAAATAAACAAAAGAAATTGTCTTATGTACTTCTAGATTGTAGTACTGCATTTGGCCTGATGGGGGAAGGGGGCGATGGAGAGCAATACACACAACCAGAACACCTACCTGGTGGGGACTGCAGTACTCTGTGTGTACACCAGGGGCGCATGGCCACACACACACACAGATTTTTGTCAGGTGAATGTGACCCAAGGGGACTTCTGAGATAATGCACCAGGCATGTCTACTAACTGATCTGAGATCTGTAGTAGGGCTCAACACGGTGGGGACCTCACTTTAGGTCCCCACGGGGGAATAGGTCCCCACCAGGCTGTGTGTAGTCAGGTTCAGGTCCCCACCGGGATATTAAAACAAGAACACAGACACACACACACACACACACACACACAGAGTTACACACACACACACACACACACACACACACACACACACACACACACACACACACAGACACACACACAGACACAGAGTTACACAAACAGAACATAAATAAAGTGTCTTTAAACTTCCCCTGAACACGTGACGTCACAACAACAGAACCGAAAGTAGGTCGTGTCTCACGAACTGTTCCTCACACAATACAACAACAACTACATCTGTCAAACTAGGATTATATATAAACATATACATTTATACATATATAACCCACACATGCGCACTGGGACACTCACCTTTGACGGACGCACTCGGCCCTTTAGCCCGTCAGGAGAGAGCCTCAGGAGAGAGCCTCAGTGTCAGGAGAGAGACTCAGGAGAGAGCCTCAGTGTCAGGAGAGAGACTCAGGAGAGAGCCTCAGGAGAGAGCCTCAGGAGAGAGACTCAGTCTCAGGAGAGAGCCTCAGTGTCAGGAGAGAGCCTCAGGAGAGAGCCTCAGTGTCAGGAGAGAGCCTCAGGAGAGAGCCTCAGTGTCAGGAGAGAGACTCAGGAGAGAGCCTCAGTGTCAGGAGAGAGACTCAGGAGAGAGTCTCAACCTCAGGAGAGAGCCTCAGTGTCAGGAGAGAGCCTCAGGAGAGAGCCTCAGTGTCAGGAGAGAGCCTCAGGAGAGAGCCTCAGTGTCAGGAGAGAGACTCAGGAGAGAGCCTCAGTGTCAGGAGAGAGACTCAGGAGAGAGCCTCAGTGTCAGGAGAGAGACTCAGTGTCAGGAGAGAGACTCAGGAGAGAGACTCAGGAGAGAGCCTCAGTGTCAGGAGAGAGACTCAGGAGAGAGCCTCAGTGTCAGGAGAGAGACTCAGGAGAGAGACTCAGGAGAGAGACTCAGGAGAGAGCGTAAGGAGTGAGTCTCAACCTCAGGAGAGAGCCTCAGCATCAGGAGAGAGCATCAGTCTCAGGAGAGAGTCTCAGGAGAGAGACTCAGTCTCAGGAGAGAGTCTCAGGAGAGAGCGTCAGCATCAGGAGAGAGCATCAGTCTCAGGAGAGAGTCTCAGGAGAGAGCGTCAGCATCAGGAGAGAGCATCAGTCTCAGGAGAGAGTCTCAGGAGAGAGTCAGCATCAGGAGAGAGTCAGTCTCAGGAGAGAGTCTCAGGAGAGAGCGTCAGCCTGTGAGAGAACACACAGAACAGGTTTGTTTGAAAATCCACATGTCATGAGCAGGAAGCACATGACAGCCTGGTATTTGTTTCCTTGAGAAGCTTTACTGTCCCTGTGCTCCACCCTGTCCCTGTGCTCCACTCTGTCCCTGTGCTCCACTCTGTCCCTGTGCTCCACCCTGTCCCTGTGCTCCACCCTGTCCCTGTGCTCCACCCTGTCCCTGTGCTCCACTCTGTCCCTGTGCTCCACCCTGGCCCTGTGCTCCACCCTGGCCCTGTGCTCCACCCTGTCCCTGTGCTCCACCCTGTCCCTGTGCTCCACTCTGTCCCTGTGCTCCACTCTGTCCCTGTGCTCCACTCTGTCCCTGTGCTCCACCCTGTCCCTGTGCTCCACCCTGTCCCTGTGCTCCACCCTGTCCCTGTGCTCCACCCTGTCCCTGTGCTCCACCCTGGCCCTGTGCTCCACCCTGTCCCTGTGCTCCACTCTGTCCCTGTGCTCCACTCTGTCCCTGTGCTCCCACTCTGTCCCTGTGCTCCACCCTGTCCCTGTGCTCCACTCTGTCCCTGTGCTCCACCCTGTCCCTGTGCTCCACTCTGTCCCTGTGCTCCACTCTGTCCCTGTGCTCCACTCTGTCCCTGTGCTCCACTCTGTCCCTGTGCTCCACTCTGTCCCTGTGCTCCACACTGTCCCTGTGCTCCACCCTGTCCCTGTGCTCCACCCTGTCCCTGTGCTCCACTCTGTCCCTGTGCTCCACCCTGTCCCTGTGCTCCACCCTGTCCCTGTGCTCCACTCTGTCCCTGTGCTCCACTCTGTCCCTGTGCTCCACTCTGTCCCTGTGCTCCACTCTGTCCCTGTGCTCCACCCTGTCCCTGTGCTCCACCCTGTCCCTGTGCTCCACTCTGTCCCTGTGCTCCACTCTGTCCCTGTGCTCCACTCTGTCCCTGTGCTCCACCCTGTCCCTGTGCTCCACTCTGTCCCTGTGCTCCACTCTGTCCCTGTGCTCCACTCTGTCCCTGTGCTCCACTCTGTCCCTGTGCTCCACACTGTCCCTGTGCTCAGAGAGAGACACACACACACACACACACACACACACACACACACACACACACACACACACACACACACACACACACACACACACACACACACACACACACACACACACACATACTGGTTTCCATTCTTGATGGGGACCAGGTTTCAAATTATCACTTGCGGGGACCACCCTTTCCAGAGGGTCTAGAGTCACACAAAAAAATTGAGATACTTAACATCACATTGTAAGCTTATACACATCTTAAAATGTCTCAATTGTTGAAACAATATTCTGACAGTGTATTGTGGGGACCTATAACAAAACGAGTCAATGTCACTTAGAAGGACCAGATTTGCATAACATTTGCATAACTCACACATTTTTTTATTTTACTCATGGGGACCTTTCTTAAAACAAATGACTACATTATTAAGGCCAAATAATCCACAGACTGTCTTTGTAAACGTGCCTTTATTAACAAATTTTATATATTTTGTTGTAAGGCTTGTGAACAGCTTATTTCTTGACTGAAACACATTTTGCTTCACTTATTCAAAAGGAACAAAAACAAATCAAGTATTTTCCTTTTCTTTGACAATTTGGAAGCACTTGATTATTAAACTATTTTGGAATATCAAATGCCATTATAAAGGGCTGTATTAAACATCTCACACAAACAATTTCACCCTGAAGAGGATAACAAATTCTGTAAACATCGTACGGACAAATTTAACAACTTACTCTACTTATTCAAGATTAATCTTTCTGATTCAACAACAATTCTGTCCCTTAGCCCCGCCACCCAACTTCCCATTTATGCTCTCTGTCTTAGCAGAGCTACTGTTTCTTACGGAGTGCTACACTACGGTTATAAACATAAAATTTAATGCTTTTCCAGTCACGGTTGATTAGTGCTTCTGGTTCTGCTTTCAAACATTTTTCGCAGTCGCTCTTTGTAGGTACAATACGTGATGTGATGAAGCGCTTCAGGTGCTTTTCAACTGCCTGTACCTCAGTTGGCTGCCAAGGACATTTCTTCTGGTTTTTGCCTTTGAGTGGTCACAAAAAAAGACATGCTTTAGAGTACATTCAGTGTTTATAAATCATCCTATCTGTATTGGTACATACACAGGTAGGATCCCATCCACACGCACACACAATTTTACACAAACTATTTCATAGTGTTGCTTTTTCTGTTTGATGGTATGATCAGTAGCAGACATAAAAAGAAGAGCAAAGAGTTCACCTTTGCCAGAAGACAAAGTACTGCCAACTGAAGACATCTTTTCTGACGGTTTTCGTTTCTTAGGTGGTGGTGGAGTGTGTCCGGCAGAAGCAAGTGCAACCATTCCAGCTGGTTCTGTGAAAAATAATGAAAATCATTAGTTCAAATATTTTGAAGGTTCAAGAGTACCATTAAAAACTAATCAATACATAAATTATGTGTCACAAACATTTCCATATAAGCCCACACTTTTACAGTCATATATATTGAAATATAAATATTAAAAAGTTGTTTAGCAGTGATACAAACCATCAATAGCCGGAAAACGACGTCCATCTTTATCCCCATCTTCTTGCTCAGAGTCAATGTTTTCTGTGCAAAGTTTAAAGCACATTTTCATAGTAGATTACAACTTTTCTTATGAAACCCACATTTTTATTGTATTAATATATAAAATAAAACATGTAATAGTAAAACATACCATGAGCAGTTAATAAACTGTGTCCCTCTTCCGTCTCATTTTCCTCCTCACACTCAACTTTTTCTGTGGAAGTTCAAAGTACATCAACACAATTGCTTGTAAACATGCTATACAGTTAGACAATAAAACAACATACCATCAGGTTCAATTCTAATCTCATCCAGGTTTTTCCCTTGGAATTGTGACATTCTTCCTTGTTCAAGAGCCATTAGCACTTTGCTTATTTTCGCCAGCTGCAAGGTCTTTTCAGGGAGTCTATAAAACTCACGATGGATCCTTATATCATGTCCAAGAAAATTTGCGAGTTGGTCCATCTCTGTGTCCGTCATATTCAGTACAGTAGAGAGGGTCGCAGCATGCTTTCTCAGCTTTGTCGATGTTAGAGCTTCTGGACACTTAGCACCACACAGTCTCGAAAATGCACGAAGGCAGTCTGACCCTCTCAAGTGGGACATTGCGTCTGGTCTAGCAAACAGGTATATATTGTCTTTTAAAACACTGCAGTCCTCTCTTCGGTTAACAAGGAGATCTAAAGCATTGAGAATTTTTGGAGTCAAAAGAATTGGAACAGGCCGGCCACGCTTGCCCCTGGTAATGATCCTGGTGAAGTGTCTGCAAAGTTTTTTCTCCACTTCTGAAAGAGCCCAGTCAACATCATTATGTGGATCTGAAGTGTCTCTGGACAAAAATGCAGTCAAAGGCATAGATGATACTTCGCCTTCTCTGCGCCGGTTGAAGAGAATCATCTGGGCAAGACACACCTTGGCTAACTCAATCCATGCTTTTGTAGAAGGACGTTCCGATAACGTGTTGAACCACTCATCTTGCTGTTGACCCAAGAATACATGCAATTTTTGAACATCATTAGTGAAAGGCATTAGTGCTGGGACATTCCAATGGGCTTCTCTGATGTTCCTTAATGCAGTAGCCGAAACAAGCTCGTTCCACTTGTTCTGATGTACTTCTAGAAATTCACTTGCATTCTTCACACGCTGCTGGTCATTCAAGATTAAACCTTGTGCTTTTAAGAGTCTACTCACTTTAACTAAGGAATTTCCAAGCTTATTAGCAAGGGATGGGATTGCGAACTTGTCATTTTCACTGTCATAGCCACATGTATACTTGACAGCTTTCACAATCTCAATGTACTTCTTTGGATTTACACAGTCTTCAAGTGTATTCAAAGATGTGACTTTTCTGGCATTGTGAACCAACCTTCCCAATTCTCGCATCTTCTCTCGCACGCACTGTTTGTTCTTGTCTGAAAGTCCACCTTTATTCAACAAGTGCTGTCCAATTTCAGTAATTACACCGTCATTTTTTATTATGTCCGTAATTGGACCAGGATTCATGACACTGATAACTTCCCACAGTTGTTTGGTCATGTTTAAAGGCACAGGCCCAGTGTAGGTACACATGGCCTGGACACGGTTTTTTCCTGGTTTAGGACGAACGGACTGTGGTTTAAGCCTACAATTACGGATGTGTCTCCACAGTACCTTTCTTGTAAAGAGTCCTTGACAGTATGCACAATGCATGAAATCTTCACCTTGCAAGTTTTTCTGCGGCCGTTTGAATGGGACTAGTTCTCCTGATCCAGATTCCATGACAGCAGCATTGTGAGCATAGTTTCCTCTATTGCGAATATAATCAAGTTGGTATTTTCTCTCTTTGGATCCCTTTGGAAAGCTTACAGCACGAGCCACGTCAGATTTATCCACATGTGATTTTTCTAGATGCCTTGCCATTTTTGCATAAGGCTTGGAGCAGTAAAAGCAATAATGTCTTTTGTCATATATTCTTCGTACACCCTTTTTGTTGTATGCCTTAACAACAATATCTGTAGTGGCCTGACTTGAATTGGGTTCAACGCCAGCAGATGTTTCAGCTGAAAGACTTGGCATATTGTCCAAAGTTGTGGAGTCACATTCAAGATTGTTTGCAGGGTCAGGATAATCAAGATTGAGTTCATCATAAAATTTGCTTCTCAATTTGTTTCGTGATAAAGGAAGATCACTGTCGCTTTCTGAACCAGATGTGGTATCTGGGACATAGTTGTCTGAACTGTCTGTTGTAGAATCATATAACTCATCAGAGTCGAAATGATTTGTGTCTTTCATCTGAATAAAACAAGAAAAGAAAAACATGTGAATAACTAAAAATACTAAAAAAGTAAACAAAAACAATCTGAATGCAATGCAGAGAAATAGAAATAATTACAAAATAAACGAATTGGCACATATCCAACTTCATTGGATGTGTTCATAGGTCAATGTTCATAGGTAAATGTCACTTACTATGATACTTTTTGTCCTCCTCAGTTTTGGTACAGAATCAACTTCCCATGTGGGCTGTGTAAGAATCTGTAGATAAAAAACTATTATAAACAGACAACACAAAAAAAACCTGCAAACTAACACACATCTAGGGTCAGGGACAAGTCTCATGAGGACCTTTTCACACCCCTCACCATTCCTTCTTTATGGGGACAAATTCAATAGACTTTCACACGATTCAACTCAACTGCAGTCACTGACCAAAGAAAGACAATATTCTCCTTCCACTATCCCACTTACTGAAGTAGTACTTTAATGACTCATATAATTGTCAGTCAGTTAAAAGAAAGATTTTTAATATTTATTGACAAAGCCCCCGTCGTTTCAAACACCAAGTGTTTTGGTTTCTCCCAAACGCAGCTGCCACATTCTGACAACATCACGCCTCTCATCATCCACACAAACTTAACACAAACTCTAACACAAATCTAACACACACCACACAAACTCTAACACACACTCTAACACAAACTCTAACACACACCCATTTAAACACAAACTCTAACACACAAACTAACACAAACTCTAACACACACTCTAACACAAACTCTAACACAAACTCTAACACACACTCTACACAAACTCAACACACACCTAACACAAACTCTAACACACACTCTACCCCACAAACTCTAACACAACCTCTAACACACACTCTAAACACACACTCTAACCCACACTCTAACACAAACTCTAACACACACTCAAGCTAACAACAAACTCTAACACAAACTAACACACACTCTAACACAAACTCTAACACACACTCTAACTCAACACTCATAACACACACTCTAACACAAACTCTAACACACACACTAACCCAAACTCTACACACACTCTAACACCAACTCTAACACAAACTCTAACACACACTCTAACACCCACTCTAACACAAACTCTAACACACACTCTAACACACACTCTAACACAAAAAAACCTCTAACCCAAACTCCAACACTCACTCTAACACAAACTAACACAAACTCTAACACACATCTAACACCCAACTCTAACACTAACTAACACACACTCTAACACAACTCTAACACAAACTCTAACACAAACGCTAACACACACTCTAACACAAACTCTAACACAAACTCTAACAAACTCCTAACACAAACTCTAACACAAACTCTAACCACACACTCTAACACACACCTAACCACACACTCTAACACTAACTCAACACACAACTACTAACACACACACTAACACACACTCTAACACAAACTCTAACACACACTCTAACACAAACTCTAACACACACTCTACACCAACTCTAACAACACACTCTAACACACAACTCTAACACACACTCGAACACAAACTCTAAACACACCACACTAACACAAACTCTAAACACAAACTCAACACCCACACAACACAAACTCTAACACTCACTCTAACACAAAACTAACACACACCTAACAAACGCTAACACAAACACTAACACACACCTAACACACCACTCTAACAACACACCTACACACAAAATCTAACAACACTCTAACACAAACTCTAACACAAACTCTAACACACACTCTAACACAAACTCTAACATCACACTCTAACCCCAACTCTAAACACACACTCTAACACAAACTCTAACACACACACTAACACCCACCAACACACACACTCTAACACAAACTCTAACACAACTCTAACACAAACTCCTAACACACACCTAACACAAACTCTAACACAAACTCTAACCCACACTCTACCACAAACTCTAACACACACGCTAACACACACTCATAACACAAACTCTAACACAAACCTCTAACACACACTCTAACACAACTCTAACACAAACTCTAACACCCATTCCAACACACACTCTAACAAACTCTAAACAAACTAAACACCACTCTAACACAAACTCTAACACAACTCAAAACATACATCTAACACACACTCGAAACACACAACTCTAACTCAAACTCGAACCCACCACCTAACACAAACTCTAAACACACACTCTAACACAAACTCTAACACAACTCCTAACACAACTCTAACACACACTCTAACACAAACTCTAACACAAACTCTAACAGCACAATCTAACACCACTCTAACCAACTCAACACAAACTAACACACACTCTAAAAACCAACTCTAACCAAAATCCTAACACAGACAACTCCTAACACACACTCCTAACACGAAACTCTAACACCAACTCTAACACCCACTCTAACACAACCTCTAACACAAACTCTAACACAAACGCTAACACAAACACTAACACACACTCTAAACACCCACTCTAACACACACTCTAACACAAACTCT